TCTAATTACAGCCTTTAAACACCAAATTGAAAGGTGACAAATTTAAAAATTCTTTGATTTTTACTTAATAGATATAACACTTCCCTAGAAACAAGAATTCATCCACATATTTATGAGGAAGTGCACTCTCTACAGTGGATGATGGAAGCTGTTTATTACTCTCTTGTTTATAGTCTGGATGATGTTTGTTTTTTATGACAAATATGGAATTAAATAGGAGATCTGATGCTACAGAAAAGAAAAACAGCTACTAAAATTAAAACATGTAATTGATACAATACAGATAGTTCTTGACTTATGACTGCAATTTGGACCAGAATATCCATTGCAAAGTGAGGCAGTTAAGGGAATTGGGCCTGATTTATGATCTTTTTTGCCATTGTCAAAAATGTCATCAAAAAAGCAAAACAAAGAATGTTCTTCCTGGACCAACTCAGAAAGCTCAGACTGCCCAAGGAGCTGGTGATACAGTTCTACAAAGAAATCAATGAGTCTGTCATTTGCACCTCTATAACTGTCTGGTTTGGCACTGCAAGCAAACAGAGACACAGACTTCAATGGATAGTTAGAACTGCAGGAAAAAACTGCCATCCATTAAGGACCTGCATATTACACGAGCTAGAAAAAGGACTGTGAAAATATCTACAAACTTTTCACATGCTGGACGTAAACTCTTTCAACTTCTTCACACAAGATGACACTATAGGGCATTGCATGCTAGACACAAGGATAATTGACCTGTGCAGTGAAGGCCATGCCTGCAGCTGGACACCTTCAGCCTGCACATGCTTGCCACCTCCTATGCTAGCCACACCCACACCCACCATTCACTAGGGCTTATTTTTGGGGTAGTGCTTATGTGCATGCTTAAAAATCAGGCTAGGGTTTATTTTTGGAGGGACGATATATTTTTATGACTAACTTTGTTGATTGTGTCATATTAATTACGTTGTTTTATTTAGTATCCTAGTAGGATTTATGTTGATTGCTTATTTAGCATCCTATGACTATCACTGAGTGTTGTACCTTATGATTTATGATGAATGTATTTTATGATTATGATCATGATTTCTCACTTCCTTGTATAGATATTGAGAGCTTATGCTCCAGAGACAAATTCCTTGTGTCCAATCACACTTTATCTGGTCAATAAAGAATTCTATTCTATTCTATTTTGTTGTTCTGTTCATGTCCCTGTCCCTGTCCCTGTCCCTATCTCTACTCCTATTGGAGTCCCACCCCCTTTTCAACAAATCATCCCTTGCAGCAGGACTTATTATTCTCCTTCTGCTCAACTTTCCCAGATTTAAATTAAGAAAGGCAGACAGATTCAAGATAATTTCTGGGGTGCCCTTATGTTGTCTAAAAGTGGATGACAATTTCTGAGAGGATGATTTACGTTGATTCCTCAATGTGGATGAATAGGAATAGAGGTAATAACTTATATCTTAATGTTCTGTCTCGCCTTTCTTCTTTCCAAAAGATGAAAGAGTACAAACTCACACAAACACAGGCAGGCAAGCTGGCTTGAACTTCACAGAGTTAATTCTTTGGAACTGATAATGTCCTTGGCATTCCAACACGCTCTGCCTGCCAAGTCCAAACATAACAAGTAAAAAGCTACTTCCAGAAAATTACAAGGCAGACCATAAAATCATTCACAAAGAAAACCTGAAGCAAGATTAAACTTTGTCCCGTACAAACTTCCAGCTGACAACACACCCACTTTAATCCCCTGTGGGGTGTGGCTCAATCTCAGCTCACTCTCTGACCCACCCACGCCTCCTACGTTGCTGCTCACGTTTCTTCCTACGACGCTGCTTAGGATCAAGCCAACATTCTTCCTCTTGACTCCCTGTCAGGAGCTGCTCCGATATGCCTTCCTCCTGATTAATCTCAGGCTGTTCCTCTCGGTTGTCTGATGAAACCTGAGGCATTATCAGGGAGAAAGGCATTGGCAGAGAGGAAGGTCCTGGGGAGGAAGGCATTCCCAGTTCCTCCTCCTCATCTTCTGAGTCCTCTTCCTCTAACAGCACAGGCTCGGGAATCAGAGTCACAACACTATCTTTCACTGTAGGGTCCTTCCCCCAAGTCTGATGGTCAGGATGTGGTCTCAAGGGGAAATGGACATGGAACATCCGTATAAGGTCTGGGGCGCGGATCGTGGAAGCATCCACCCAGGAAAGGGCCTCTGGCCCATCCCCCTGCCTCTCGATCAAATACTGGAACCGCCCTTTCAGCCAGCGGGAATCCCTAATGCCGACCACGTTGCCATCAACTGTGTCATCTTCACTGGGCACAGGTGGTGGATCATCAGCTGCGGGATGTCGAAGGTCACATGAAGGGGCGTCAGGGACCAAAAGGGAACAGTGGAAGACTGGATGAATTCGCATGGAGCGCGGTAGAGTCAGTCGATAGGCTACGGGGTTGATGACCGTCTCGGGAAATGGGCCAATGAACCGATGGTCCAGCTTCTTTATCGGGCAGTCAACCTGAAGATGTTTTGTGGACAACCACACGTGGTCTCCTATAGCCAGGGGAGGCGTTGCCCGTCGAGAGTGATCTGCGAACCGCTTGTAATCTTCCTTGGCCCGTATCAGTTGCTGCCGAACTAACTGCTGAACTGAGTGTAGTTCCAAAAGAAATTCCTGAGTCTCAGTTACAGGGGAATGTAATAGTGTCAACGGAAAGAATCGCGGATGGTACCCCACATTAGCATAAAATGGTGTCATTTGGGTGGAGGTGTGCTGGGAGTTGTTGAATGCAAACTTGGCCAGAGGGAGATAATCAACCCAATTGTTCTGCCAGTGGTTTACAAAACAGCACAAATATTGCTCAAGAATGCCAATGACCTTCTCCATCCCACCATCAGTTTCTGGACAACAAGCACACCTGTACCTGTAACGTGGTCATCAGGCTTTTCCAAAATTGGGCTGTAAATTGTACAATATTTTGCTTGATGAATTTACCTATATAGATTCCATAGACTATAGTTCTTCAGCTTTCCTTTGCTTTACCAATCCTTAAAAGCCATAAATGTGAGACTTGGTTGCTTTTCCATCACTGGTGTAACTGGGAACCCTGGTTAAATGAGGACTGCATGTAGCTTGAGTGCTGGAAAACACACTATCTCACCCTGAGCACAATGAGATTGCTTAAGGAGAGAATGACCCATCCACACAGCCTCCTGACTTTGCTTCAAAGCCATCTTGAAACCATTCTTTAAGGACTTATCTGTGTGATACAGCCTCCCTCTCATTTCCAGTCCATAGTTGAGAGCAGCTACCATTTCCTTTCTCTGATTCAATGTGGAAATCATGTTTTCCATCTTCCTTTATCACAGCCCTTGTTATATGCACAATTTGCATGGCTTCACTGCAGACTTCCCTCCAGGGGCATCTGGGGTTGTGATGGTGGACAGACATGATCCCAGAAGGAGAAGGCTTTACAGTATTATTTGGGTGGTTTACAACTTTGAAGCACTATTTGCATATTGCCCCCCAAAATCTGGGCCCTCATTCTACTGACCCCTGGAAGGATGGAAAGCTGAATCAAACTTGAGCCCCACCAAGATCAAACTCCAGACTGTGGGCAGAGTTTGCCTGGGATACTGAACTTTAACCACTGTGCCATCAGGGCTCATAAAATGAACTCGTGACTAGACTTTTTGAAAATTAGAAGAAAAAAAATTCTTTCTCTTTGCAGCTTGTTAGATAACCATTTCCTTAGTTTATTCACAAACTAAAAATGTCTGTGTTTTGCCTTTCCAGTTCTCTTATGGTTAACATGGATAACTGTTACTATAAAATCTTAATTTCTTGACAGATTTATGAACCCTAGTAAATCATTTAACTCATATTTTTATTTCATCCAAAATATTTTGGGTTTCCTCTTGCCTTTTAAATTCAGAATTATAGTGGTCAGCTAACTGGACCGGCCACGCTTACAGCTGGTTATCATCCCAGTGATTGAAACACCTGTCTAATTTCGCCTTGAAATGAACTGTCAGGAGCTGAATTAAAGACTGAAAAGCCGATATCATAATATAGGGAAATTATCTTGGCATCTAAAAGAGACCTAGAAGAGAAAAGGGCAAGCTGCTTTTTAAGAAGACGAAATCTGGGAATAGCGAAGCTCATGGAGGGGAAAGGAAATTAGAAGCTGCCTCCCCTTCCAAAACTCAATTATAGCATTGAAGCGACCTGCTCTCCACACAGCAATAGGAGGATCAGGACGCCAGAGGGCGCTCCCGTGTAACATACAGAGTGAAAGAAGCGGGGAGGTGGAGGGGGGGGGGGAGAGTTTCTCTCCAGAAATGTATATAAATGTCAACCAAAAAGCAAGTGTTCAGTTTAAATAAGTGCAAAAGAAAACATAATAAATTTACCCATCCTAACTTTGCCAATACACGAGGAGGATTTGCCTTTGGCGTCTGCTTATTGGCTAAGCGAAACGGTCCAGAGGTTTCAGCGGCCCCTGAAGTTTCCTGGGAGAGCTTTGCCAGGAGCGGACCCGGAGGCTGGGATTTTAGTCCCTCCACCCTCCTTTTCACGCCGCTGCGGCTTTGCCTATTCAACCGCTAAAAAGAGCAACCCGAAAGCTACAGAGAGCGCCAGTGAGGGAAAGAAGAGGGGGGGGGGATCCTCCGCTGGACCAGGGCTACTTAAAGAGCTCAGGTGGGATGGGGAGACTCTGATCGCAGTGATCATAATCTGATCCCCTTCTTTTTCTTTCTGCCGATTCCTGCAAAGGTTGTGGAAGTCTCCGAGGGATTGAAAAGCGAGAGAGAAACGAAGGAGACGTCGAGGGATGCGTTTGATTTCAGTGATTCGTTTTAGCCTGGGAATCACAGGACTTTATAAAATTGGGACAGTTTTCCTCTCATCTCTGAACAAGCAGAAGGTTCCGGCCCCCAAACTGCTTTTCGTTGCTACAGTTGAAGGGTCAAGCAAGTTTTTTTTATTGAACTCTTGAGTAAATCCCTCCTTTTAGTAGTCAGCGGAACCCCGCCCTCCACTTGTTCCTGTTATGTTACTTTCAGTTTTCCTGAGGCTTCCGTGTACTTCGCCTTGAGCGCTTGTTGTGAGTAGTTTCTGGTTAATTTAAAAAATAATAATGTGGACCATCCCGTGCCTGCCGGTTCTCCCCCGCAGCCATGCACCCGCGGTCCTCTCAGCCACCGCAGGTCTTCTAGATGGGAGGATTTCAGGGGAGAATTAGCGGACAGGAAAGAGTTTGCAGTCAATCTTGTGATGGATGTGCCCAACGCGCGCAAAGGCGCCATGTAAACTTACTAAGATTCAATATTGAAGTCCACCATTCAAAATAATGTAGATGGGTCGATTCTCGCTTAACTTTGACTTCCAATTAATACAGCTCAAAAGGGAAGTAGCTTCCTCTTAAGGGCTGTACAAATCCTAACTGGTGGGATTAATTCGGGCTACGGTCATCCGGAGGGCTATTAGATGTCATTGGCAGTTGGGATTTTACTGTATTGCTTTACTGCTTTCTGGGGTGGTCCGAGTTTTGTTAGAAAACTCAGTCTGGTGGCCCAATTGTGTTCTGATAAGAAACCTCACCACTTCTGTGAGGCAAAGGTGGGATACAGATCCTGCTCTTGTGTCCTTCCCAGTAATCTATGTCCAAATCAGAATGAACTTGCTGGAAGGTGGCAATTGACATGATCACCCATGCCTGATGCCTTTAGATCCATCTGCCCAATAATAGGACAGGAGGGCAAGTACAAAAAACCTTTCCCAAATGGGAAATAACATTTAGCTGGGTGGATCTGAGATTGTGCTAAGATTAGAAAGAGACCTTTTGCATTGAAAAAGTTCTCTCTGTTCTGATTAACCTTTTCTCCCTGGTATCTATGGAGATTCTCAATCCTTCAGAGGTCATAGTTGTCCCAAAAGTGCTTTTCCAAAGGCAACTGGAGCTTTTGGGGTTTTTTTTACTTGAAAACATTTCACTTCTCAACAAAGGAGCTTCTTTGTTCTGGCTAAATGGTGGGCAAAAGGAGGATTTCTATCCCTGAGAAAGTTGTATGTTTTTATTACCTGTTCCCTGAACCTTTCTGACAATCTTCTTCAGTTTTACTGAAGGCAAATGTTATCTCATCAAGTGACATTATGGAGAAGGACCAGAATTTGCCTCATTGATGTTAAGACCTTAACTTTTCCTCACTTGTTTGTTTGCAGGTAATTTAATTGTGGCAACACTTCCAGCAAGCATGGCCAGTGGAACTGTATTTGTCATCCCCTCTAATGGAGCAAACATAATCCAAATGGCTCCTGGATTGCCCAGTGTTGCTCTTCAGGCATCTGGAACAACTCCATATCCTCAGTATGGAGCTCAGCAACTTGGGATTTCCACCAGTGCTCCTCAACAAGTCCCACAAAAGGGTCCTTTGGAGAGATTCCTGAAGGCTGAGCCCAAAGTGCTTGGGGTATGCATGCTTTGTTATGTTCCTGTTTGAAGTCCATTAAGGTTTTAGAGCTATGTAGAGACCTGAGAGCCCCATGTTGAAGTTCTGGAAGTTAGCTTGGCTGTTATCTGGTCCTGGAATCTACTCCAAAAACCTCTGTTCTTCCTGGTAGTTTCATTTGTGATTATGCAAAACATTCTGACTCTGATATGCATTTTTTTTGCTTTGCTCCTTAAATGAGAAAGTGGAGCTCAGCCATGGTTCCAGCCAGGTGTCTTTTTCTCCCTTCCCTCTGAGAAGAGCATTTCTCCAGAAGAACCTGGTCATGTATTGACTGAAGCCCAAGCTGCTTGAATTCTTTTCTCCTCCTCCTCATTATTTATTATTTATTATTATTCATCGCACAGTCAGCCAGATGTTCAGACTGGGTTTGGCATTTTTGTCTACCTATCGAGTCCTTACCAAGGACCCAGGATAGGCAAATCTGGATGTTTGATGGTATTACAGATGCTGCAGGATGAAAGCTGTTCCAAGTAAAGCTGCCTTCTGCAATTGACAGATGGCAAATTTGTCAATGCCTATGGTGTTCAAGTGGTGCTGCAGTTGTTTTGAGACTGCACCCAAGGTTCCTATTACTATTGGTACTACCCTTGCTTGTTATTATTATTATTATTATTATTATTATTATTATTATTATTATTATTCACAAAAAATGACAGTATACACAGCAGACGAGATAACTATGCTGGGTTTCGTATCACAAATCACTAGTCGAACACTTCCCAAGCGTTTAGGACTGCATGATGTATCAGCGGATTATGTGAGCAGATTCTAGTAAGGTGGCCTTCTGCAGCTGAACGATGGTGGTTTTGTCAGTGCCAATTGTTTTTAAGTGCTTGCCTAGGTCTTTAGACACAGCACCCAGTGTGCCGAGTACCACTGGAACCACCTGCGCTGGTTTATGCCAGAGTCTCTGCAGTTTGATTTTCAAGTCCTGATATCTGGTGATTTTTTCAAGTTATTTCTCGCCGATTCTGCTGTCACCAGGTATGGCAATGTCGACGATCCACACTTTTTTCTTCTCCACAATCGTGATATCTGAGGTATTGTGTTCCAAAACTTTGTCAGTCTATATTCAGAAGTCCCACAGTAGTTTTGCATGCTCATTTTCTAACACTTTTTCAGGCTTATGATCCCACCAGCTCTTTGCTACAGGCAGATGGTAGTTGTGACACAAGTTCCAGTGGACCATCTGTTGTGATGTTGTTTGTAGTCAGTCTGAGCTATTGTCTTGCAACAGCTCAGTATGTGATCAATAATAATAATCAGTTGATCACATATTTATAATCATCATCATCATCATCATCATCATCATTATTATTATCATCATCATTATTATCATTATCATTATTATCATTATTTATTTTTATTTTTCAAATATACATCCATTTTGTGTGTGGACACAATTGATTCTGGGTATCATTCACATATTAATCCAAATTACAATAACTATTGGTAAACTTTATCACACTTATCAAATTTAGGTAATCCTCATAATATTCAAACAACAACAAAAATGTCTAGCATCTGTAAAACTCTAATCTTTCTATCTATTATTTTTATTTATTCTATGAAAATGTATGATCTAATATTTCCCCTATCTAATTTTATTTCTGCCTCTATCAGCATACATCAAACTACCTTAATGTTTAAAAGGCAATTCTTTATATCCATCATCTCTTGTCCTCCTTAGTGCTTCATTTTTTTTCCATTTTTTTACTCGCCTCAGTCTAAGCATTTCTCCCAGTACAATCTGATGCTGGCTATTCTCCCAAATGTCTGTCCACATCTCAATCTCCTTATCAGAGATATCTTCCTGTCTATCCAATTGTTGGTTTATCTGTTTTATTTTCTTCAATCTTTCTTCTTTTATCGGCTGGTTTGTCAGTCCTATTTTTTGTTCCAGTCCTTGGTTTCTTTTTTGATGTCGCCACTTTATCTGTTCTTTCTGCTCCTTTTGCTTGCTATTTGTCTGTTCTTTCTCTTTGTCGAGCTTCTGCTTCATTTGCTGATTTTTCTGATCCATATTTTTTTCTTGTTCATAGTCAGTTTGCTGGCTTAAGTAGTCCATTTCATCTAATCTTTGTTGTTTTCACCAGTTCATGGGCAGTTTGGTCTTTATTCATTGTTTTTTGCAGAAGTTTTGCATTTTCCATCCATTGATATTTTAATACTTTGGAACAACAAAGTGATCTCATTAAAGAGTCCAAAATTATAGGTTTCCAATCATTAGTAGATGGCACTTTCCTCTCAGATTTCCATGCTGCCTTTTTTTCCAGCAGATATTAATTTCAATCAAAAGCCATTTATTTCAAAGCAAAGTCATTTATTTAGATGGGCCAGTTCCAACATTTATTCCATATTCTAATAGTCCATATTCTAATTTTCCAAGTTCTTTGAATCTGCTCTGTAATTTTGGTCTTTTATTCTGGTTTCCCAGAGTTTCTTTTATAAAATGTCTTTCTTATTTTCACCTCTGGTAAGTGTAAGACAATAAATAGTTAAAAGTCATAGCCTTCCACTGGTTAAAGAGATATTCCTTTCCTAGTCTAAACTTCCAGGAGTTTAGGAGTCACTTTTCCTTTCATCAGTAGATGGCATTCTCAACTTACTTTTCAACATAAATTTCAGAAGTGCTTACTTTTGCAACTTAAACAATTATCTTTTTAGACTCTTATTATGGATATTTTATTTTCCTTGGGGTTACTTTTTAAACAGAAGAATCATCTCACCCAGAAACAACCATTGTTCATTCTCTTCGCTCCTGTACTTTCTTAGGTGCTTCAGCTGCTCCCCAGATCCATGGCAGCCATGTTGACCACTGCTGCTCCTCATTTTTGGATAAGGGGGATTTTTCAAGCCAGGGAGGAAAGATACAGCTCTCCTCAACCTGCAAGGTGCCCCCCTTTGCTTCACCACCCCTACAGAGTGGCTATGGCTTCTTTTGGAGTTCTCTGATGGGAAGAGCTTGAAGCAGGGTCACAGAGCTCATAGTCCTCACCTCCAGTGCCACAGGAAGCGCAGCCAGAAGTCAAAGTCACTTTGTGCTAACCATGATCAACTTCCTCCTTCAGAGGAGTCTGCAGTGAGAAGTGTCATTTTTCTCTTAAAGGCCTATCTTGATATTCTTATATACCTTCTTCCTGACAAAAGCTGTCCCACTGAGGGTAAAACTAGATCATAGTCTGCAGTAAATGTCTGGTACATAGTGACAACGGCATCTCAAACTCCCTTCTCCTCATTTGGATTTTTCACCATAGGAAAACAGGCCTTGGGTCAACACCTGCACTGGAAAGTTAGAAACCCCAACTCCTTTGAAGGACCTTTCAAAGAAGGATAGAAATGATGCCTTTCCTGGGGTGGTAACAAATTTCAGAATGTTTCTCTTTCTCAGATTAAGATAACCAATTTGACTTATTTTGTATGTTTTCCTTCCTTAGGCCATCCAGATCATGATTGGGCTGATCCACATTGGCTTTGGGGCTGTCTCGCTTTGTCTCTTTCCTTTTTACTATCTTACCTTGTCTGGAATTGGAGGTTACCCCTTTTGGGGAGGGATATTTGTAAGTATATGCAAATTCCTCTTCAGTCATGCACCATGGTATTAATGGTTAAGGCATACATATAGAAGTCCTGTTTGCTTGGGAGTCTTCCTGACTTCTCATGTGTGCCAGATTTTTCTGATGCTTTTTTCCATTAATATTTCCAGTGGACTAAACTATTTTTGTTTCTTTTTCCATAGTTCATTTCTTCTGGGTCAGTATGTATAGCAGCTGCGAACCGTCCAAATCGTGCTTTGGTGAGAAAGCTGTATGGCTTTTGAATTTCTTTCATGCTGTTTCTTCATAATCACTCAGCACTCTATATTAAAAAGGAGAGAAGCCTGAGAGAGTCAATGACCATCATGTGGGTGTTTGTTCTACCAGAGCTTCCTTAGTTGCTACTAGTAATGCTGCTAGCCCTGAACAAAGAGGTGTCTTCTTGAGTTCTCTAGACTTGAACCAGACCTCCAACATGCTGCCTCCTCCATCTTGATTTTATTTTTTTTTTATTTATTTATTTTGTCAAACAATTATTAGATAACAGGTATAAGTATAAACATGGTTATAAATACATGAAATGGATATGAATAAGAAAAAAAGAAACAATAGGACAGGGACGGTAGGCATGTTTTGGTGTGCTTATGCACACCCCTACATACCTCTTAGGAAAGGGGTGAGGTCAATCGTAGACAGTTTAATGTTGAAGATTTTGGGGTTTGGGGAAGAAACCACAGAGTCAGGTAGAGTATTCCAGACATTGACCACTCTGTTGCTGAAGTCGTACTTCCTGCAATCAAGTTTGGTGCAGTTTACCTTGCGTTTGTATCTATTGTGTGCTCTTGTATTGTTATGGTTGAAACTAAGTATTCGTTGACAGGTAGGACATTGCAATGTATAATTTTATATATTATACTTAGATCAGACCAAAGGTGGCATAGTTCTAGGTTGTCTAGGTCTAAAATTTCAAGTCTGCCGGCATAAGGTATTCTGCTACGAGTAGAGGAGTGGACTTTTCTTGTAAAATATTTCTGGGCTTTCTCAATTGTATTAATATCAGATATGTAATGCGGGTTCCAGACTGATGAGCTGTATTCAAGTATTGGTCTAGCAAATGTTTTGTATGCTCTCGTTAGTAGTGTGATATTACCAGAGAAAAAGCTATGTAGGATTAGGTTAACAATTCTTAATGCCTTTTTGGCTATGTAGTTGCAGTGGGATCTAGCACTTAGATCATTTGAGATGAGTACTCCAAGGTCCTTGACAAAAGTTTGTGTCATCAACAAGGTCTCGACTATTCAGCTTGTAGTTTATTTTTTGATTTTTTTTGCCAATATGTAAGATAGAGCATTTATTTGTTGAGATTTGAAGTTGCCATTTGTTTGACCATTCTGACACATAGTCAAGGTCTTTTTGAAGGGTAACAGCATTGTCAGTGGTGTTGAATAGCTTTACATCATCAGCGAAAAGAACACAGTTGCTCTGAATATAATCACAGAGGTCATTAATATAGAGTATGAAGAGAGTTGGTCCTAGAACACTGCCTTGGGGGACACCACTGTTGACAGGTACAGGATTTGATAGGATGCTCCCAATTTTGACCATTTGTTGCCTGTTTGAGAGGAATCTTCTATCCAGTTATGCAGAGATACCATAAGACCTTAGTTTTAGGAGTAGTTTGTCATGTACCACTGAATCAAAAGCTTTACAGAAGTCTATGAAATTGCGTCAATTGTTTTGCCCTGATCAAGTTGTGTAGTCCATATGTTTTTACAGTGCAAGAGTTGCAGATTACATGACAGTTTCCTTCTGAAACCAAACTGTTTGTTAGAGAGTAGGTTGTTTGTCTCTAAGTGGAGGATAATGGATTGGTTAATAATTGATTCCATGACTTTACAGGTGACACAGCATAAAGAGATTGGTCTGTAATTTTCAAGTAGGCTGGGGTCTCCCTTTTTGAAGATGGGAATGTCTGTGGCTAGTGACCATAGATTTGGCAAGGAGCTGGTCCTGAAAGATTTTTCAAAGATTATGCTTAGAGGTTCACTTATGACAGTGGATAGCTGTTTAAAGAAGTAGGCACAAACTCCATCCAGTCCAATAGATAAAGATGGATTTAGATTGCGTAGTGCTTTTTCAACATTGTCTTCTGTAAAATCGATATGTATTAGATCATTGTAGTTGTCTGTGGTTTGACTAGGAAATATTGGGCATGATCCATTGTTGTTTACAAATACTGAGCCAAAGAATGTGTTAAAGAGGTTGCCTTTAATGGTGTCATCATAGCAGTCTTTACCATTAGTTTCTTTTAGGGGTGGGATGGACCTTGAGTCCTTTAGTCTGTTGTTTACAAAATTGTAGAAAGCATGGGTGGAATTGGTGCATAGAAGGTTTTCCGCTTGTTTAGTGTGATAATTGGTACATTCAGTCTTTATCTGGTGGCATAAATTTTTGTATCGGCTTTTAAAGTTGGCAACGTGACCAGATTTATTTTTCCACCAAAGAGATTTCTTTTTGGATTGGAGCTTCCTTATTGTTATGGGTAATTTGTTTTTTCTGGTTTGGGGAGTTGTTATTGGTACATATAGTTTGATGACTCTTTTGACTTCAAGTAAAAATATGTTGTAATGGTCTTCAACAGTATTGCATCCAGTGAATAGAATTTGCCAATCAAGAGATGAGAGATCGTTGTCTGTAAGATCATATTTGCCTTTTTTGAAGTTATAATTGGGGATCCTGTCGTTATGGTGATTTTTGTGAGGACATTTGTTGAGACAAAAGTCAATCATGCTGTGGTCACTGTTGGAAAAGCGTTCATTAATTTCGAGGCAGTTGTTAAATCTAGTATTGTTGGTTACTAGTTGTTCCAGTCCTAGTGTGGTAACAACATTGTACAGGGTTGTATGACTGGGTTCAGATGTACATTCATTTAGTGTCCAATTTATAAGGGGTAAGTTGAGGTCACCAAGAAAAATGAGAAGATGTGGGCAGGAGGCAGCCCATGTCAGTAGTGAAGTTAGCTTGTTTGCATGAATTATATCATAGTCAGGGGCACCGTAGCAAAGTAAGAAGCGGATTGAGGTGTTTAAGGACAGTTCACAGGTGATGGTATTGGGAAGAGCAAGCTCTTGTATAATTTTGATCTTTTTTAGATTTAGAGACTTTTTATAGAATATAGCAACTCCACCACTTCTATGGATTTCACGATCTGACCAAAAAACTTGATATTCTCTTGTAGTGGTAATGGAGTCTGGGAAAGATGCATTTAACCACGTCTCACAGACAAATATAATGTCAAATGTGGCTGAGCTTAGAAGGATGAGGAATTCATGCATTTTATTTGTGAGGCTTCTTGCATAAAGTAGTTTGCATTTAAGATATAAAGTAGTGGGTCTAGAGCAAGTAAGGGGCGTGCATCCCTAACGTTGGATGTTTGGGTGATGGATATTGTGATGTAGATTGAGGCTCTTGCTTTTGATACAGTCAGCATGGTAATGTATAGATTTGTATTACCTAATTCATGTAATCTTTTGAGCTCAGAACATAGCTCCCGGGACCGTCACGTTGCTGTTAGGTTAGATCGGGGTGAGAACAAAGGTTCTTATGGTTCTTGTTGCTCTTTGCGAGTGAATTTATTGAGAAAATGAATTTGCGTTTGCTTTTTCATTTTTGCAAACAACCCTGCAGAGGCATGAGATCATCAAGCCGTCTTTGTTTTTAAGCTCAGGACTGACACGGGAAATATCAAGTATTTCTTCAGGGAAGATGGTTGATGCTTGATTTTCTCTGATGATGTTTCGAACATTAGAGATGTCATCATTGTCACTGACCTCTAGACCAAATAAGATGGCATTTGGTTGCTTCAGTTCATGCTCAACAGCTTCTTTGATGAGGATGGGGATATCATTATTTGTAGGATTTGTTGTTTTTTGTGGATTGGGTTTTGGTTGCAGTTGTTGAGTAGAGATATGGTTTGTAGATGTTTGATGTTCGTTTTTTAGTGCTGTCTCTTTTTTTTTTCAAGGTTTGCCAATCTAGTTTGTATAGTGTCCAGGGATGCTACAATGGTGTCAAGGGATGTTATATGTGTTTCAATGGTATCGACTTTTTCAAACAGGGTAACATATTTTTCTAGTTTGGGTCTGCATGGTGGACAGAAATATGGAAAAGCATTGGCGGATGTTTTTAGGAATAGAGCCATTTGCTTGGGTAATCCTAAGCAATTATGGTGAGCGTAATTGTTACAAAGAGAACATTTGATATAATCTTCATTCTCCTTTAAAGATTCCTTGCAAATAAGGCAAGAGCAAGAGTCTTGTGGTTCTTTAGTAGTGGTTTCTTTCTTTTTAGGTTGAGGTTTAACATTGCATTGTTTTCCTGGCATGGTGGGTTTGTTGAGATGGCTTGTTGATTAGGTTGTTCAATCAAATAAGGTATTGTGGTAATCAATAAAGTAATATTGTACCAAACAGTCTATTATACTAATCACACTAGTCAATTAATTTAACTAATCAATAATCACCCTAACAATTAATTACACTAATCAATAAACACACTAGTCAATTGATTGCCCTAATCATTAATTTATACTAAACATACTAATCATACTAATATTCAAAATAGTTAACCAAACTAATCAATAACCACTAGTCTATGATAATCTATAATATATTCCTCACAAATGATAAATAATTGTAAAAATTAATTAATCATTTAGTAAGGTCAGTTAATCAATTAAACAGAGTTATATTGGGAAAAATTAGGGCAGGAAGAGAATAAAGGGAGGAAGAAGAAAAGATTTGGTTTGGTGATGGTCTTGGAGGGTATATGAAGAGGGCATATATTAGGTTGGAAGTATAGATGAAAGTCTTTTGGCAGAAGGTTACTCTTTACTCGTTTCTTCAGATCTTCAGTTAGTGATTTTTGAGGAACCAGATCTGTCTTCACACGGATCTTCTTGTCTTCGGGCATATATTAGGCTGAAGGTAACTGAAAGTCTTTTGGCAGAATGTTAATCTTCATACGTTACTTCAGATCATCAGCTAGCGATCTTAGGGATTAGGTCTGTCTTCTCACGGACACCCTTGTCTTTGGTCAGCGACCTTAGGAATTAGGCTACTGCGTGAATTAGCAGGGCTGCGCTCTGAGATCAGGACCTCCAATGTGGGATTTGACGATCGCAGATGATCGATGATGAAGGCGGCAGTTTGGACAGCAGCTTTACTGGAAGGTCAGCACTCCAGGATCAGGCCCTGAGCCGTTGGAAGTTCGGCGGTTGGAACTTTGCCATTGATTGAGGCTCCAACGGGTTCGGGGCTACAGCGCTCCCTTAAGAATTAGCAGCTTAGGCTCCTCAGGATCTCCAGTGCAGGCAATGCTTTTATAGGTTTTTATAGGTAGGAAATGCTCCAACGGGCTCTGGGCTACAGCGTTTTGAAGGAAACAGTAGCTCTGGTGCTCTGGGATCCCTGGCACAAGCAGTCCTTCAGGGTGGCCACAAGGATGGCAAGCACTCCCGAAACAGGTCCTCAATCACAGGATCAGGTGATTTTTGCCGATAACTGATGCAGCTGGTGATCTAACAGAGTCTCTTTTGATCGGGGATGAACAGCAAATCTTCCCACAATCAACTACTTATTTTAATCAGGAAGGGAAATGGTAGGGACCCCACTCACGATCAAATGACCATCGGACCGGGAGCCTCCCCTTGCTAGTTATATGCTGCCCTCTTCGAATGCTTGACAGAGGTTCCTGTTTCAGAAGTCTTCCTACTTGAAAGCAACATTATGAGGAAGCCCAGTATATTAGGAGTAAAATTATAAAACACAGGTGGGAATCTTCTGGGAATCAAAGAGAGTTGTTGGTAGCCTTCCTACATTTCATTCTTTTCCTCTGTCTCTCTTTGGTTTAAACTGTATTCATAGCAACATAGAAATGTAAAGGAATACTGTGTGAATTCAAGAGAAGAAAAACATCCATCTTAATGGAAAAAACACTACATTCCTGAAAGGAATGAACTGAAAACAGAGGAATTTTTAAATTTTTAATACTCTCATTACTGGCTCCAAGGGTTTCTCTATTCCCATCTCTCTTGTTGCCTCTCTGTAATGCTGTATAAGTTAACATTTAATGCTTAGAGTTTGTCATGGCTTAGGATAAACAGTGTGGGATTTCTTTAACTAAAATGTTAAGGGATAAATAATCCTTACCAGTTTTCCTGTCACTGTTAATCACCTGGCCTTCGATTGGAGGCTGACATCTAGAAACAGAAAGAAGGGATTTGATAGTGTTAGAAAAGCCTTCAAATGAACTGTGGCACTTGCTTTTCCAATGTGGAAAACCTTGTTATTGCTGCTGTTTGATTCTGGTGATCTTAGTGGATGTTGTCTGGTTTCACCACTGATTGGTCATGTGTCATTAAACACACACATATATTGAATTCTGTCACTGCTTTTACCATAGTTGGGGCTAATTATTTTTATCTTTGCATAAACCTATTCTGTAACATAATGACACTAACTGTATTTTCTTTCTTTCTGGTGTATTGTTTCAGGTGAAATCTAGCGTAGGATTGAACATCACAAGTGCTATCATGGCATTAACTGGTATCATCCTGTACCTATGCGAACTGATCTTCAGCAATAATTTTTGGAGATATGATCAACAATATTACACTGACAATTTAATTGTAAGTAAAACAATCTGGTCTTAAATTTTGGCTTCATGTGCAGAATTCTGAAGGAGATTATATATACAGGAAAGATATCCCAAATCCTTTGAGTTTTATTTGAAAATATTTTCTTCAATAGGTCTAAGTCACAAAAATATGAGTGCTATTTCATTTGAATGCTTTATATACAGTATTTGTTTAAAAAAAGGGAATCAATATTCTGGTCACTGAGGTGCAAAGTGAGTAGGACTTTGTAGATTTCTTCTTCTTCAGTTTGTTTATTTGGTGGGGAGGGTTATTTTTAAAAAGTCTAAATGTGTTTTAAATGTATAGTTTGATTATGTCTCTGAACAGTGTAAAAATTGGTTGTTTTGCGGGAAGGTTTAGGTAGTGAAAAACAAAGGGGTGCTTGAGAATTTTATATAGAATGTACATGTTGAAATCTATACCAGGTTTTCCTGCCATCTCCACATCCTCATCCCTTCTTTGCATTTGCCACCCAGTTTTATAAAACTGAAATTTAGGTAAGTTCTGAAGTCTGGACAGTTTGGAACCATACCAATAACTGGGATTTTAGTATTTTGTACGGTGCTGCCCTTTGCTTTCTTATGAGTGTTAAATCTTAGTAGTATCACATCCAGGGCTTTTCTCCTTTCCAGCCTGACAGATGATTGGAAAGAAGTTGGGTAAAGAAAATAGATCTAGCTGCATCCTTATTGAGGAGGAGAAACAATATATCTTAGACTGGCTGAATCTAAATCATGTTGCTGCCCTTAACCATACTCGGCTGATGCCAATTTTCCCATAAGATTTCCTTTACTTTATCCTCAGCCCATCAGTAAGTTTTACACTTGATGTGAGTAAATCATCATTAGCTGTACTTGTGTAAAACTAATCTTTTCCTCTCCTCTTCTTTTGAGCCCATCCAACAACAGCCTCAAGGCGTATAAAATCTATTTCCCTTCCCCTGTTATCTTGGAGAAAAAGGCAGGTGACCAAGAGTGGATATGTTAGGACAGTGGGGAGGCCTGTCAGTTTTTCCCCTTTGGACTAGCCAGCCTCTGTCTTAACCATTTCTCCTTCTCCCTTCAGCACTTTGTTTCTTGAGGTTCCCTATCCATCCCATCTCCTCTTTCATCCCAAAGGTGCTTTTTCAAGAGGCAACTGGACTTTGTTTTCCTATGAAGACATTTCACTTCTCATCCAAGAAGCTGCTTCAGCTCTGACTAAATGGTGGCCTCAACAACTTCTAAAAGGATGCAAACGACCAACTGTCTGCAAAGAGTATAAATCCTTCCCTTCCCCACCATCCAGTTAGAGCTGAAGAAGCTTCTTGGAAGAGAAGCAAAATGTCTCCACAGGAAAACAAGAAAGTGCTATTAATGTTTCCTGATGCAGTTTTCTCATATCACACAGGTTGTACACGTAGTCTTTAATTTACAATTAATTTACAATTATTCAATTTACAATTGTCCATTTAGTATCAATGGCACTCCAAAAAACTATGACCTCTCCTTGTATTTACGACCGTTGCAGGGTCCCCACAGTTACATGATCAAAATTTGGGGACTTGGCTACTAGCAATTTATTTAGGACAGTTGCAGCATCTCCTTTGCAACTTTCCCAGCCAACCTCTGATCAGCAAAGCCAGCAGGGGTGGGGAAACTGGATTCACTTAACAACCATATGTTTCTCTTAATTGCAGCAATTTGCTTAGCAACACTGGCAGAAAAGGTAAAATTACGCATGACTCACTTAACAACTGCAATGGAAATTCTGGTCCCAATTGTGGTTGTAAGTCAAGGGTTACCTGTACAGTGTCTCTGTTTCCCAAGAGAGCAGATGGGAATCCCTTTTCATGGTGAAGGACATAAAGTAAAATAAAATACATACTGCTACATTAACTTCTCAGAAAATTACAACTATCTTTCCACATGTCTACAGGATGCTGCAGAGAGGCTACGGAGTGTCGGTTATGGCCTATCCAGTGTGCTGCTCCTGTTCAGCTTGTTGGAATTTTGCATCGCTGTTTCACTGGCTCACTTTGGGTGCCAGACAGCTTGCTGTAGTGATGCCCAGGTAACTATTTAATATTTTAATAATAGCTTTAGCAGTTCTCATTGTTAAAGAATGTAAAGAACATAGTCAATTTTTCTTCTTTATTCTTTACTCCATCTAACCTGACCTTTTGCTTGTTTCTTTGATATTACCCTGAAAAGTAGGTGAGATTGGCTACACAGTTTACCCAGTAACCTTTATAACTAAGAGAGACTTGAATTGTGAGCTAACACCCTGTGATTTATTTGCTTCTGCATGTGAATAATTAGATGACGTGAATTTTTCCCAGCTTCTGTTTTGCTAAGAGAGTGAGTGTCATGAATACAATACAGTTTGTGTGGTCTCTATAATTCAGTGATACAGAAGTTGATGTCTCCATTTTAGAGGCCTTAGTTCTAAATATAGTTACTTTAGTAGTGTGACTACAGTAATTTAAAGTATCTGTCACTTAATCACATTTTCTCTCAATGTCACCTTTTTTTTAAAAAAAAGGTATTTTTCATTAAAAAAAAATAACATTAGTTTTAATTCTCAGACAAACAGCTGAATACATGACTATCATATGCTACCTAAGATCTCCAAATATAGATGTAGTAATAAAGGGATTCTGTCAGCACTACAAAGATCTTTGAAAAAAAATCTGTTGGAAACAATTGAATTACCAACCACATGGATTTCCTATCTGGCCACTCATAGACGGCCAGATTAGGTAATCATACCTCTTCAGCCCTTATTCTTAACACTGGTACACCACAGGGTTGCGTGTTGAATCCCTTACTCTGTACTCTTTATGTTCATGACTGCATTCCCATTCATGCTAGTAATACTATTGCTAAATTTGCAAATGATACAACAGTGGTGGGACTCATCTCTGGGGGGGATGAGTCTGCCTACCGAGATGAGGTGGACCAATTGCTTTTGTGGTGTGGAGACAATTGGTGTCCTCAACACCAATAAGACCAAGGAGCTTATAGTGGACTATAGAAGGAACAGATCAGATATCCAGCCCTTGCTTATCAATGGACCAAGTGGAGAAATGGCCAGTTTTAAGTTTCTGGGTATTACCATAAAAGAGGACCTGACCTGGGGTGCTCACATTGCAGTACTAATCAAAAGGGCCCAGCAGAGATTATACTACCTGAGACTTCTCAGAAACAACAACTGAATGAAAAATTCCTGGTGACCTTCTACTGTTGCACCATAGAGAGTATCTTAACTTACTGCACCTCTGTATGGTTTGCCAATTGCACAGTGGCAGATAGGACAGTGCTCCAGAGGGTGAACGTCATTGCCCAGAGGATCATGGGCTGTCCTCTCCCCTTTGGAAGAGCTTTATAGCTCCCACTGCCTTAAGAAAGTTCAAAACATTCTTAAAGATCCCTCTTATCCTGGGCACCCTTTTTTAAAACTACCATCTGGCAGATGGTACAGAATAATAAAAACAAGGACAAATAGGCTGAAAAACAGCTTCTATCCGAGGGCAGTAGCTCTTTTGAATTCTGCTGTATAGTGCAATGTTGGTGTGGTGTTGGGGTTTTCAATTCAATGTATGGAGTATGAAGGATGTGTGTTTGTGTTTATTTTCATGGTCATGATATGCACTGAAGATGGTGTTTGATTTCATTGTACGAGGTGCAATGACAATAAAGTAAACTAAACTAAACATACCTACCTTGGCAAGTTTTGTGTTGGGAAAGAAAGACATGTCTGTCTCTTGTTCTGCAGAAGCGACAATTGGCTTCTTTTTGTACCAATAACAAACATGCTCTCAACCTTTCAGAAATGCTTTAGATTAATTTGAGAGGCAGAAAACAGGACAGAACAATGACTGAAGGGGTAAATATGATTGGACCTGACAAAACAGAAGAACTCTATTATAAACAACTAAATCAGCATTCAGAGATACCTGTCTTGGAGCCTTGGTGCTCTCTAGCTTGGGTGTTTTCTTGCAGAGGTTTCACTACTCAAACTAGGTAACATCCTCAGTGCAGGTTTATTATCTGGGTAATAGAACATCTGCACAACCAAGCTCAGAGAGAACGAAGGTCCCCTTATTTCAACCCACAGCTACATATATTCTCCTTTATCAGCACCTAAAACTGTGAAATGCACCTTCTTTGGGCCTTTAAATTGTTAGAATTAGTTCTTAATCTGATGGCTTTTGTGAATAAATCATGAGAATATTATTTGTTTGTTTGTTTGTTTATATGGTCCTCAATTAAACTGGACCCTAGAAGGTTTACAACAATACGAATACAGTAACATAAAATATAAGCAATATAAAACTCCAATAAAAAAGTAAAGCAAAAAATATAATGAGTCTCCAAAAGTCCTCAGGAGAAGCCAGTTCAATTCTCTTATCACTTGCCAGAGGACCATCCCAGTTGGTACCATCTTTATTTCAGAAGGTCATCTGTTCCATACAGAGAACACTCACTGTGTGATGAGGGACACACTGTCACACTTCTCGGTAGGAAGTTGGGAGATCCTGAGCAAATATTCTCTGAATGTGTGGATAAAGCTGGCAGATTTGATAGGAAGTTACTTAAATGCTCATCATTTGCCTATTAATTTATAGTTTTAAAGAATTCTCTATCAGAACTTGGAGCTATCAAAGATTTCACCCTTTGGTGAGACTGCTAGCATCGCAATTACAAACACACAAGTGGACAATCTATTCCTCCTACCTAGAGTAACAGAGGCGTCCCTGAGTATTTTTTGTCTTGACTATTCTTTTCTGTTACAGCCAACCATGCTTTTTGTGCCTTACCAAGTCATCGGAGGTGAAGAAGTTGCAGCTGAACCAAATCCTCCTCCACCGACTTACGATAACGTGGTTACCAAATCTCAGTAAAACAAGAAGGAAACATGAGAATTGTTGGCAACAGAGGTTTCAGGAGAAGCAATCCCATGACCATGAGGAGGCTGCTACCTGTGAAGACTGGTCATGTGTCACCTTTTTTGTAATTTTGTCACTAAACTGTAGCTACCTGCAATAGTGTTTGCATAATCACTGTGATCCCAAAACAGAAGTCTGCATATAACTAGAGTCTTCCATATTGTTAGGGCATTTAAGCTGATTAAAAAGACAGATTCCATCAAAATTGCTATTTTTTGTTTTTGTTTTTACTATCATCTTCAACAAAGGAAGCTGTAAACACATTCATTAGCTGTATCCTTGAAGAGTTTACAGTTGTGTAAACATACAATTTCAAAATCAAAGCCATTCTTACTTTTAGGGAGGGTATATTTAAGGTGTGGGTAACTATGATCCCTTTGCAACTTCTGGACTTCCAATTCCTGAGCCTGCATGGCTGATTCAGATATTTTTGGAGTTGAAGTCTACAATTCCTAAAAGTGCCAGAGTTGCCCATCCCTGGTACTGTATATGCCTCAAGAGACTCAATTGGAGTGTAGAGAAGATTCGTTGCTTCCTTGTCCATAATTACATGGGAAAAAGTTTGACTCCTGCAATGATTTTACAGGTGTACTAATCGTAAATTTGCCCAGTTTTTGAGTTTTAAGTTGATAGGCAGTATCCTGAATATAATCTAGCTCAGTTGAACTGATATCACTCTTACTTCCATACTTTGATGAACCTGCATACAGATAGAAAGTTGAACAACTAGCCTTGTGGTGCAGCCGGAACAATCTTGAAAAAAATACACTCAAAATTGTAGAAATCATAGTAGATTTTAGGAGAAGTCCTTCGATCTACCACCTCTTACAATACTAGACATTATACCATGTTTCCCTGAAAGTAAGATCCAATCTTATTTTCTTTTGACCTCAAAAATAAGCGCTAGGCCTTATTTTCAAGGGATGTCTTAATTTCCCCATGTACTGATATGAGGCAAGAGTGATCTGCCCCAACCCTGAACCAGGTTACTAGAACGTTGCAGCAAGCCATCCCACTGATGCATACAGCTGCCTCATGGTGACCTCTGCAGCTGCCACCTCCAGCAAGCTTGGCTGCTTCTGCAGTTGATTGCAGCCACAAAAACAGCAAAAATTCTGTTCAATGAGGACTGCCTGTGGCATTAGTGCTGGAAGACACTCTACCTTACCCTAAGCACAATGAGATTGCTTAAGGAGAGAATGAGCCCATCCACACAGGCTCATGACTTTGCCTCAAAGACATCTTGAAACCATTCTTTAAGGACTCATCCATGTGATACAGCCTCGGTCTCATTTCCTGTCCATAGTTGGGGGCTTTCTCGGATTCAATGTGGAAATAATGTTTTCCATTTTCCCTTATCACAACCCTTGCTATATGCACAATTTGCATTGCTTCACTGATAGCATGGCTGCTGACTTCCCTCCAGGGGCATCTGGGGTTTCGATGCTGGACAGATATGATCCCAGAAGAAGAGCAGCCCCACCAAGACTGTAGAACAGCATAACCCAGAACTGCTGGGGAGCCCCCTCCCTGTCAGCACAGTTTTAGTTTCCCGGCAGGCCTGTTGCTCTGCTGGTTGGCTCCGTTTCTGTCTGACTGACAGGCAGGTTGCTCTAGGAAGGGAATTCTTTACTGCTTTCTCTATCACTCTTGAGGCTGTGCTAGTGACAGGTCAATCCCTTTCTAAAATGACCTTTCTGTCAACCCTGGGTAGGAGGATAAAGGCCCAATAGGCAGGTCACCCTGTGAGGCATTCCTTGTGACTAGGTTTCTGCTCAGTAGTCTTTCTTTTAGAGTCAGAAAAAATAGTAGAGCTGGACCTCTGTAGACACAGCACTGCATGAAGGGATCTGCCTGTTGTGCCATTGGTTTTTGCAGTGGATGGATAGGCTGGTTATTCCAAGTTCACTAAGATTGAAGGATAGCTAAATCACTCCTGCCCTCTTTCAGAACTCTCCTCCTCCTCCTCCTCCTCCTCCTCCTAGCACCCAGGTTGAAGGGAACAATTAGGAATTTTCCCCTGCAATATACTGTTAGGGGCAGCTCCACGTAGAGAGCAGCCATGCAGAAGGAGGAGATTCTATTAACATACATTTGAACTATCTCCCTAACTAGACAAAAGGATGTGAAGCATGCAGAGGATATGTCCCTATGATGTAAGCTGGTCCAGTTGCTCAGCTTGAATGAGAGCTTAGTGAAAACTATGACCATCTATATTAACATTAGCTTCCATTGAAAGCTTCTAAGGCAGGGAGAGATGACACCTGGGCATTTATCCATCCTAGAATGTCAATTGTGGCTTCTAAAATGAAAATGAAATTGATTTTGTAAAAATGTGTTGTTAAAAAGACTGATACCTTTTGAGGTTGCCAACTCTGATGAGATTTCAGTGGTCTCATGTGATCTCACAAGTTTTCAGCTTGCCTACATGAGAATGACCTTTATTTTATTTTTTTCATTAATTTCTAGTTACTTCAGTTATAATGTATAACTGGGGCACAGGGGCCCTCCAAGGCTGTGTGCTTTCTCCACTTCTCTTCTCCCTATATAACAATGACTGCATCTCAAATGATCCATCTGTTAATATACTGAAGTTTGCAGATGATACAACAGTGATTGGTCTCATTCAAGACAACAACAAATCCGCATACAGACAGGAGTTTGTACAAGTTGCCCCGTGGTGTAACCAGAACAATCTGGAACTGAACAGACTCAAAACTGTAGAAATGGTGGTAGACTTTAGAAGAAACCCTCCCATACTACCACCTCTTACAATACTAGACAACATAGTATCAACAGTAGAGAGCTTCAAATTTCTAGGTTCTATCATATCACAAGACCTAAAATGGACACCTAACATCAAAAACATCAAAAAAGCACAACAAAGAATGTTCTTTCTGTGCCAACTCAGAAAGCTCAAACTGCCCAACTTCCGGTTGGACAGACCGAAATCCGTGATCATCCGCGGTTTCAGTTTGTGCTCTCCGTTGGAGGGCCCTGATATACTCAATTTGAGACCAAAGCCACCCCCTAGAGGTGGTGAAGCAGGGGGAGACCACCAGCTGGGTTGAGGGGAGCCACATCTCTCTTCCTTGGCTTGGCATTTACTCCTCTCCAAAGATGGCAGTAGCGGTGGTCAAAATGGCCACTCTGAAGAGGGAGAGCAGATCAGACAAGAATGTGCAGCAGCAGAGAAGAAGAGGACAGCTTGAGTGACTGGGCTAAGCAGAAATAATATTTAAATACAGGGTGCCCTGGAATAAAAATATTTAAGAACTTTTGAGAAAGGTTTAAAAAGGAGGGGGAAGGGGGGGGGGGGGGGGGTGAGATTTGACAGCTGGAAGTGGCTTTGAACTTTGAAAAAGAAGCCTGAAGAAGTATTAGTGTAAAATAATCTTGATAGGTGAATTGAAAGCTGAACTTGAAAGTATCACAGGGAAAATAAGGAACTTTTGAAACTTAAAAGCCAGAAAAGAGGAAAAAGCAGAGAAAAGGAAAAAAGGGTGAGACTTGGATATAGCAGAGAGTGCCACCTGGTGCTAAAAGAAATTAATTAAGGGTGAAAGAAGGTGGGGGGGGTCTCTCCAATAGAGCAGAAATGTATAGTAGGGAGGAAAGCTAATGTTCAATTTATATAAGTGCAGAAGGAAACATAATAGATTTACCCATCTTAACTTTCAAGGATGGGGAGGCTGTGATTGCAGTGATCATAAACTGATCCTCTTCTTTTTCTTTCTGGCAATTCTTGCAAAAATTGTGGAAGTCTCTGAGGGGTTGCAAACGAGCCCTTCCAAGCACGGGACTGAAGTATTTTGGGAGAAAGAGAAGCGAAGGAGACGTCGAGGGATGCGTTTGATTTCAGTGGTTCATTTTAGCCTGGGAATAACAGGACTTTATAAACTTGGGACAGTTTTCCTCTCATCTCTGAACAAGCAGAAGGTTCCGGGCCCCAAACTGTTATTTGTTGCAACAATTAAAGGGTCAAGAAACACATTTTTTTTTCTGGAGTCCTTGTGTAAGCTATGAGTAAATCCCTCCTTTAAGTCATCAACCCCACCCTCCGCTTGTTCCTGTTATGTTACTTTCGTTTTTCCTGAGACTTCCCTTTACTGTGTCTCTGTTCTTGCCATGTGAACATTAAACCTTCTGGAATCAGCCATCTATATTTCACCTCTTTTTAAAGTAGGATTTATTCAGGAATTGGTATTCTCTTCTCATTTCTCTCACTCTTCTAGACACTTGTTTCAGGACCACAATCTCCTTATCTTTATGCTTCAATGTTTTCTCTCTTGCCACCTGTAATATTTGTGTTTTAATGGCTTTCTTTGTAAATCTGATGTGAACTTCTCTTGGTAAGCTATTTCTTTTGCATATCTTGTGAAGACTCAAAAAACCTTGTCTATTCCATCCATCATCTTCTCTTGGGTTATTTACAGAGCTTCAAGCAAGATTACTATCATTATCTCAGCTAAGTTTTGTCCCTTTTCTTCCTCTATGTTTTGAAATCTGAGATAGAATTCTGATCTATCCATCTCCCATCTCAGCATCCCACTTTTATCTTGTTGAACCACTGTCAATCTGTCATCAATATTTCCAATCTTCTCATCTCTTTGTTTATCTTCTTCATTTTTTTTGAATTTCTCATCATACTTCAACATTTGTTGAATATTCTCCACCTTTTCATCAGTTTTTTCTATTCTCCTTTCAATATTCTTTGTTCTTGCTTGTATGCTTTGAATTCCTTGCATAGTCATCTGCAATGTCACCTTTTCCTGTTCTTTTTCTTGCTGTAACATCATCTGTATTGAGTGTTGTCCTTCAGATGGTGAAGAGGAAGAAGTAGGAATTGAAGAACCAGCCGCTGTTAATTTCCTGCTCATTTCAGACAATTCAAAATCTCCAGGTTCTTCTAAACCTTAATCCACTCGTGAAATAGCCAATTGTAATTCCAAGTAAAAATAGTGGAAAAAAAGAAGCAAGATAGAAGAAAAAAAAGATTTCTTCAGGTTCTTGTATACCTTAATCCAATCGATTAGTTAAATAGCAGTAAAAGCTCAAAAAAGGAAGAAAAAAAACCATAAAGAGAAAAAGGAAAAAATTATTAAATCTTGTAGGAGGCAGAAAAATAAAAATTAAAAAACTAAAAAGAAAAAGGAATTTCTTCAGGTTCTTCAACAACTTAATCCAATTAGAAAGTCTCAGGTA